GGGATTGCGGTTAACCCAGGCTTGGGGTGGGGTGGCGGGGAGCCCTAGTGGAATAGCGAGTTCAAGTTCAATGTGGGGCTGCTCCTCGCAAAGCAGGGAGTAGGAACAGAAAGAGTCCTGGGGCATAAGGGTTCTTGGTGGGGAGGCGAATGAAAATGTTCTCAAAATGGATGGTGGTGAAAATTGCGGCCCCCTCAGGGGCGGTATCATTGGCACGAACACGTGAAATGGGTACATTTTGTGATCTGTAAATGCAATAACGTTGACTGGATGTTTTTTTCTGAACAATCCAAAAGAATGTTTAGGGTCTCACAGAAATGCCAGGAGGGTGAGGTTGCAGGTCTCACCCACCATATACAGGCCGCTGGCCCAGCAGTCTGAAGCCAGCAAAGCGGATGTCACGGTCACCCATCACTTGGGTGGCTGATACACCGCCCTCCTCCTTCCAAATTTAGGGGTTGATGCAGGAGCGTGGAAGGGCGTGTTTATGCTGTTCACCTGAACCCATTCCTGGAGAAGCGTCCACTCCATTCAATGACAGTTCCCAGCCTCCCCTGCTGGTGGGCGGAGCCACGTGTGCATCTTGGCCAATGGAACGTGAGCAAAAGGCACGCGCGCGTCTCTTACTGGCTGAGGTACTCCGGAGTGGGTGTGTCCATGGCTCCAAAGTTCAAGTCAGCATTACCACGTGACCATGACCATACTGCCTAGAACGACGCCTTCGACCCCCTCCAAGAACGCAAACTAACTGGCCCTCGGGAAACCCAGCAGCGCTGGTCCTAATGACCAGAAGGCAGCCCCAGCCCCAAGGTCGTCAGGTCGGGAAATGAAGTCACTTCCAGGAGGACTCTCCTTTTCCTGCCCCTGACCTTGGGTGTCGGGTAATCTTTGCCCAGTTGGCCTCATCCACCACCTTCCTTTCTTTGTGAATAATAGCATTACTTCGTAATGACCCGAAGATGGTTTTGCCAAAAATCGTTTTTGGGTTTTTTTTCCAAAGCAGACGTGGCGAAAAGAAAACGCCAGGCCACACACACACACACACACACACACCACCACCACCCCGTGAGCCGGTTTGCTGGTTTGCTGGCTCGCCGTGCTGCCCTCTCCGGATGCCCACACACAACCCGGTCTAAAGTCCTCTAGACCTGTGTACACACAAAGATTTCCTCTTCCCAAAGCAAACAGGCCTTCATGTTTAACTGTTGATTGTTTCCTTTTGTTTTAGGGCAAGCATGCTACACTTTTACAATCGGCAAAAGACAGGGCAGCGTGGCCTGCGGAGAGGGGGAAGTTAGCCACGAATGGACACGGTGAATATGAAACCGATGGAGGGAAGGCCTCCAGCCTGACACTTTGTCAGGAGTCTGGAGTCTCTGCACCTGGGTTCCCCTGATGGAATGTGAGATTAGAGATAGCCGGAGCCATTTCAGCAGAGCAAGGCCGTTTCCCCCACTGGCCACACCTCTGGAAAAGCCCCGGACTAACTCACTGTCCTGGAGTTGATGCAGACTCATGGTGAGCCTATAGAACAGGGCAGAACGGTCCCTGTGGATTTCTGCGACTGTGACCCTTTAGGGGCGGAAAAAGCCTCAACTCTCCCCCATGAAGCTGCTGATGGTTTTGAACTGCTCACCTTTGCGGTGGGCAGCCCAACGCATAAGCCACGAGGCCACCAGGGCTCCTCCGCACAAACCAAGTGGTGACAAAACCTACTCGATGGAGGGTCTCTTCACCTTGGATACTTGCTTATTGGCTAGCTGCAAGGTCAGCGATTTGCACCCAGCAGCTGCTCTTCGGGAGCAACAAGGCTGTGGCCCTCTGCTTTCTAAAGACACCGGCGGCCTTAGAAACCCTACGGCTCAGAGTCAGCGGCTACTCGTTTTCTGTCCCTCCGACATGTAATAATATGAACCGCATGCATCGATGGGCCCCCCTCACAGAAGTGATTCTGAGGGTGCCGCATCGCCACCCTACGCACAATAAATTATTCTTCTAACTACTACACTCTTGCAGCAGCATCTGTCCAATGCGACCTGCCGTTTGAGTTCCCGACTGCGGTTTCTGTGCACATTGACGGTACAGCCAAGAACAATGAAATCGAGGACAACGCCAAGATTTTCTGCGGGTCATGATGTGGGTCCTGGTGTGAGGCTCTTTGCGTCCTTGTGTTGAGCTGGGAAGGAGACCGTGTTTGGTAAAGCAGGAAGACCCTCGATGCCATGGCTTGACCCCTTGACTGCAACAAGGGGCTCTGACCAAGAAACCATGGTGAGGAGGGCGCAGGACTGGCACCGTTTCTTTCTGTGGTGCACAGGATCACCATGGGTCGGAACCGAGTCGACGGCACCTAACCACAACAGCATGTTGAGGTATAATCCACAATCAATACCCGTGGAAGAAGAAATCAACTGACATACGCTCTTGGGCAAATCTGCTGCAAATGACCTCTTCAAAGTATTCTAAGTGTGACATTATTGGCTAAGGGTGAGCCGGACCCAACTGCGGCATGTTCCATCATCACCTGTGAAAATGGGGACGTTGGACAATGAATGAGGAAGACCAGAGAAGGGATGCCTTTGAATTCCGTAATTGGTGAGGAATGGCCCTCCAGGAACACACAAATCTGGGCTGGAAGAAGTATTGCCAGAATGCTCCTTACAAGTAAGGGCAGTGAGACTTTGTCTCACATACGTTAGCTCAGCCTGCAGAGGGTCCCTGAGCAAGTTCTTAGACCTGTTTTCCTAGCTGTAAATAGAAGCAATTGTATGACCCACCTCTAAGGATTAAATCAGATCCATGGCTTGACGCACTTGCCACACAGTTTCAGAGGGCATCATCATCTCAGCTCAAAGGATGCCTCCTCTCGGAAGCCTTTCCTGACTGACCACCCTGCCCAGGTCAAGTTCCCTTGCTCCCGAATGGTGTCCTCAACTCAGAAACCAAACTCGCTGCCATTGAGCCCATTCTGACTCATAGTGACCCTCCAGGACAGGGTCGAACTGCCTCTGAGGGTTTCTGAAGCTGTGACTCATCTTTCTCGAGCAGAGAAGCTCCCTCGGTTCAAACAGTTGACCTCGTGGTCAGGAGCCCAACGAGTTATGCCCTTACTCCTTCGTGTCTGCAACTATTCTATCACAAATAGAATGAAACCCTTGCTAACAATATCATCCTGAGCTTTGCGGTATGTCCGTCTGGATGGGTGTTCTCTTTCCCATATGGACCATGAACTGGGGGTGCAGAAATAATGTCCTGTTCTTGGATGCACCCGGCACCATGCCTGCCACGGAGGAGGGACTTACTGGCTGTGTATGTGCGCGTGCG